ATATTGGATTTTGCTCTTCATGTTTTATTAGAAGACTTATACTTGCATTTTGGGTGAGTGTTCAAATGCTTTTATGAGATCTGAATTTGAAGGAAGAACTTTCACACTACCAAGGTGTTTGATGAAATGCCCCCTTAAGGATTCTATTAGGAAATCATCTCTCATTTAATAATTCCAAGGATGCATTATTCACATTCACTAGAAAGAACTATTCAATAATTATAATATGCATTATATATCATTTTTGTTAAATAAATATTTATTTGAAATGCGTTTAGCTAGATATTTGATGTTCAAGCTGTATCAAGTGGTGATACTCCTACAACAAAATGTAACACCTTTTTATAACTTGCATGAGTAAAAATGTATGTATAGTCTAACTTTGTTGTGTATATGTGTACAGGTTAGGAGGATCGATTGACATGAAAAAGTCTACCTATATGTTTTCACTTATTTCAACTAAGTGAGGTTAGTGTAAGTAGCATTTACCTTCATAAATAGAGATATTATATTAAGAGTTGCTATTTATTCATCTTTCGACTCAAGTGATGTGTATTAAGTACTACTAGGCCAATGATAAATTAATTGTTGTTAGTTTTTCTACTATGAATTTTATTAAATAAGTTTATATGCTATTTGTCGAGTAAATGTTACTAATATTTAAGTAATTTGAATGAAGATGCCGAAAACATTTGATGACGTAAATAGGGGTAAGGAATTTTAGTTTTAGTTTAAAACCTTAATATGTAATTGTATGTTTTAAACAATAAAATGAGCTTTCGATTTATTTTCCTTAAAATGGTGATGATGTTGCCATATGATAGGCTTAAGGGTAGGTAAATGAGATGCACTCCTACGCATACTACAAAGTAATTATAGCATTTATTATTTCTATTTGGTGTATATATGAAGTTTTACTAGCATGTTTATTCACATTGTAAAGTATATAGATGTCATATTAATGTTTTATGACATTCACTCTATTCTTTGAGCAAGAAAGCTTAACCCTGAAAAAATCTACTCAGTTTAAAACAAGGAGGAAAGTAGGGTCTTCCGTGATGCACTTGACCAATGAAAGATGTTTGTGGAGATTCAAGGCCTATTTTGACAGGTATCTTATTCTAAAAGTTAATCACACATCTTCTGCAGTACAATCACATTCTCTTCGTTATTTATTTTATTAGTTTTTGAATTATAATGGAGATGTTAGTCATGACTTTTTGAGTAAAACTATTGTTATTTTTTCCAGTCGTGTACATTAATGCACAAACATAAAGTTTTAGCTGAAACTTTCTGTGATGATTCATATATTGTCAGGTTTAGTTTGATGCAAGAGACATAATCCTATAATGATGAAAAAAATGAAATTTTCAGTTTACCGTGTTTATAGACATCATAAAACACATGAATTTTGAAAAAAGACAGAGATTCAAATAGATTGAATTCTGCATATATATAGTGAAAATTCATTTCTCATCAATGGAAACCCTCAAGATCTCTTAAAATCTTTTAGAGTGCTAAGATGGAGTTTTGTCCCCATATTTGTTTGTTTCGATGATAGAGACTCTCAACATAAAGCTAAAAAAAGGTGAGAATTTGGATTGGGTAAAGAGGTTGCAGGTTGATAGAATGGGAGGTGCACCATGTACAATTTCTCATATTTTATATGCAAATGTCATTTTGTTGATATGTTCATGGAGGAATTCTCCTAACTTTTGGGATAGTAACTGGTTCAAGGGTGAATCTGGCTAAGAGGGTGTTTGGATTGCTTTTACAAGATGACTTCTAAGCTAAAAGCTAAAAGTCATAAGTTGGTTATACCCAACTTTTAGATTTAATTTTTTTTTTTTGCCTTTTCTGGCAATCAAACACTACAAAAAATGAGCTTAAATTCAAAAGCACTTAAAATGAGCAAATTAAATAGGAGTATTATGTACAACACCATTGTATAGAGGATTTACCTCAGAGATTTTATATAGGAATTAGATGAAAGGTTAAAGAGTTACCTATATTTGGGACTTTCTTGAGGTGCAAAGAAGAATGCCAAAAGTATCTGACTGAGATATTAAATAGATGTCTCAATAAGATGACTTCTTGAAAAAAAAAATTGTCTTTCGATGGCAGACTCACTTCAGTTAATAGTGTGTTGGATAAAATTTCAACCTACTTATTGTTTTTGTTAAAGTTGCATGGTTATATGAGGAAAATTTGAATACCATAAAAAGTGACCTCATGTGGAAAGGCGTAATACAAGAGAACTAAAGTTATTAAATGACAAAAAAAAGTAATGATTCACAAGAAGGTTGGAGGTGTGAGAATAAGAAATCTAAGATTGCATAATAAGAGTTTATTATTTAAATGACTAAAAGTTTAATGATGGTAATGAAAATTCTGATGAAATGTGAAATATGTGAAAGATACTTGGAGCCCTCTTTTTGTTCATAATGCATCAAGAGATAGTATATGGAGTAATATCACTGAAATATGAGTTTCAAAAGTAGTTGGTAGAACAATTCATATATTTAAGTAGGAAGAAAACATAACATTTTTTTTAAGATTACCTTTTCCTACAACTAATTTAACTTTTTTGTATACTGCTCATTAGATTGATCTTTTAAGTTTCAAACTCATGACCAAGTGAAAGAGCTCTAATGCCATGTTAGACCTGGACGTGAATGAGATAAATATGTCAAAAACATATTAGACTTCATCTCATCATTTTCTTCTTCTTTCTTAAATCTATATTGTTCTGACTCTTCAAAAATGTCAATTCTCCAAAAGTAATGCCCAAAGTAAAGAGTACGCGCAACATTCAAAAAAATTCACATGAAGTTGTAGCTGACATGTGAAATTCCCGGCCATTTATTTCTACCAACTGTGGAATCAAATTGAGAAGACGTACAGACAAATTTTTTGATATTTTTTTATGGAATAAAAACAAACCGCACAAGGTTGGCTTCTTTCTAAATGATCTGGCGAGTTCTGCTGTCTCTTGAACAGATGCAGCACTTTGGCTCTGCGTGTCCCATATGTTGAAGAAGCCGAATAGCTAAAAGGTGAAATATATTCTAAGGCTTATTAGTCTAAAGTTCGCCAATGCAATAGATAATTTTATTTACTTTATCACCGTTCTTCATATTTAAATAGTCTTTAATTCATTTTTGGCTTGGCAAAGAGGGCAAAGTGCAAAGCACATCCAATAGTTGTTCTAAGATGGTCATTCAAACTACGACAGCTAGCATTGCAAGATGCAACATGACAACACTTAAAAGTTGAACGAGTTATTCAATTACTCCATGTTCTCTTCAAATCAACAAGTAAATTCAATTATTTCCTGTGTGTACATTTTATAATGCACATACAAATTTACCTTTCTTGGAAGAAGCAGAAATTGACTAAGGCAGGAAACTTTGTGAAGACAAATAGAGTCCGAAAGATCTGTATCAATCATAGCTCAACCATTTTTACACGTTCTGCTTACGTCATTCATCTAATGCAATTTTAGTTTTTACATCGCTATGTTGCAACTTTTTAAGTTCTTTACTGCTGTTCTTCGTTACCAAGTGCCATGTAAAGCATCCACAAATAAAATGTTGGGCCCGTGCTAGCACGGGCCATTCCCATCTAGTATATATATATACAATAGCTGCATATATACAAACAAGTTATTGTAAATGGTTGATGAAAATATATATTAAATACAACTCAAGGGATTATATAAATACCTCCATTTTCTTCAATATCATTTTGATCCTTGGACCTAATTTCAACATCATTTCCGTCCTTTTTTTATTTCTTTGACTTTTCTTTTCTTTTTTGAACTCCTCGACTCTCCATCAATTTTTTGTTCTTCATCTTCTCTCTTTAAATTTTTTGAACATGCATTTGTATAACTCATGTAATTCTCTTTGATCGAGTTTGTTTAACCATGAACTTGCATATATTTGTATATTTCTATTGATGTAACTGAAAAACTAAAAATTGAATGAAAGTAAAATGATACAAAATACACAAACAAAAATCTAAAGAAACCAATTGAAAACTGACAAGGTAGGTTACCTGAAATTGGGAAAATACGATTTGAGGAAGAAAATAAATCTTTGAAACTTCAAAAATGAATATGGTTAAGTGAAATTAGAAGAAAAATCAAAGAGTGGGAGATGAAAGAGAGTTGATTAGATGTATAAAAGAAAAGAAATAAATTATGAGAGAAGAGAGAGAGTTTTGGTTTGATACAAATAGAGTGTGGGAGGCTAGCTTAAAAATAGAAATCCTAATGACAAACATTTATTGTATATTATGCTCCATGCTTACACTTTCAGATATTTTTATTAGCAGTTACTGTTTCTTAAATTTTGCTATTCGATTTCTAATTGTATAAATTCAGAATTTGTATAATTCGATTTATGATTGTATAAATCCAAATTTTGTATATGCTTACCTAGTTATTTGTATACGATTTGTTGATACATTTGATTTGTATAAGTTATGAAAAATTCATAGTAAATTACCATGTTTGCATATTTGCAAGCGAAATAGATAAATGAAGTTTTAAAAAATTCTTAAATGTATAAATACAGAATTTGTATATACTTACCTTGTTTGTATATTGAAAGCTAAATATACAAACAAATATATCCATAGCAAACAAAACTATAGCTATGCAGCATAATTAAGCAAATTGTAACTATGAAGAGTTATTTATTTCACCTACTTGCTAAAATAGATGGTAAAAACAGTAATAAGAAAAGTAAAAAAAAAAAAAGTAAGGACTAGAACAATTCGTAGTTGAAAATACACAAGGTATATAAAATATGTGTGGCATACCTAAAATATATCAAGTGATATACTTTTGATATTTGAGTAATATAATGTAGGAAAATTATGTATATAATAGGAGTATTATCGTATTGACTTCTGAAAAATTTATATCTATGTGAGATTAATATTTAAGGTTAGAGAGTATGCTAAGAGATCGATAATGAAAATCATGATTACGGTTAGAAAAGATATGGAGAGATATTGCTTGTGTTATAATATATGTTGGCATAATGTACTGTTGTTACTATTGATTTTGTGATGTTTTACGTGAAATTAATTCACGTCGATCTGTGATGCCAACTTAGTGTGTATGGTGTACTGATACTATTCTTGTTACACCTTATGTTGGTATAAGTTATTTTCAGGTTGCTTGAAGCGTGGAATTACAATTACTTATCATCAACTACCATCTACTATGTTCTCAAGTGAAAGTTATGTGATTATTTTTCGTTATTTATTATATTTTCTATTCGTACTTTATTAGCAACTCTTGTATCTATCTAGACTAGGTCCTTGAAATGGTAGTTGCAAACTGAAAAACATTAGAGGTGTAGAATCCTAGCAAGTAGTACCAATATAATGGTCATGACCTATTGTTTGCTTCTTCCTTAATTTTTTTTAAAAAAATTATCTTTTTTAAATGTTCATATTCTAGATGACTTGGTTACCCTTTGAATACTTTATGAGGTATCTCTCACGATATCATCAATATAGATATCAAGTAACTCAATCTGTCTAAATTTATACAAATAAAAAGAATTACCTAATATTTTTATCTTCATTAAAATTTGAATCTAATTCAATCTCGTGGTTCTTTATGACTTTTTCATTTTTTCATTCTTCCATTTTGATTTTTGGTTTGAGTTCTATTTTTTCCATATTACAACATACGACAACAAATGAATTATCAAATCGAGAACATAGAGAAAGAGAAATGTTAAATAAATTGGTTAAAGTGGGGAACATCTAAGTTTTTTATCCACATATCAATAATATCATTTACAATATATTTAATAAATTGAAAATTTAGCTAAATTATGAAAATGTAATTAAACATTCTAGAAACACGTACAAACACAATATGATCTAAATATAATGGTACGTTTCAAATATCTTCACAAGCTATATATCCAACATTTCTAAAATATAATCAAATCAATGATGGTCATGTTCGTTTTAAATAATAGAAAGTCAATATAATCTCAAATGAAATTGGACGTATTGAGATTCTCCTTTCTTACATACATACGTAAATGAGCTTTTCAAATATGATCAATTTAGTGAGAAAAATATAGAAGATATAATTGAACCCTAATACCATGATAGGACACAAGTCCTCCTCATTAGGAAATCTCTCGACTGCAATTTTTTTTTTGATATTTTGAATAATTAATAGAGAGATTAATACATCAAGATTATATAATAATAATTTAGTTAAGTAACCTTTCAATTAATCTTTTTCAATAAATAAAAAATGAACTAGAGTAGTACAATGTTCAATATTGAAATAATGTATTACTTCAATAATTATGCAAAACTTTTATATTAATAATTAATATTTGTAACAGTTTATATGTAGAGATTGCATTCAATGCTACTCCTAGCAACATTAAAGACCACAAGGAATTCGTAAATCCCTATACTTATTCTAATTATACATTTGACACATGTTTCTTGTTCAAAGATAATGTGACTATAAAATTGTCCTTTAGCAAAAGAAAAAGAACCAGGAATAAGAAAATCAAAATAGTTGTTGAGATATTTATAAACCATTGATGATATAGAGAAAAAATGTATACCATCAAAAAATAATTTAAGAGAGTACTAAAACAAATTACTTATTCTATCTTTTAAATTAATAGTAATCCACAAGAACATACAACTGACTTTTTAGTGTGAAAACTCCTTCGAAATGGTTAATGCATGCATCAATAACACTCTTTTATATATATATATATACACACATAGCTTCTGAAATTGAATTGTGATATTCTAATACTTCGTACAGTTTAATGTATAAATTGAGAGTTCGAGACCAATGACTTTTCTTAAAGAAAGAACTATTTGAGAAAATAAAACAACTTTCAAGAGGGGTCAAATTTTTATATTAAAAACAACAAAAATGACGAAACTGAAAATGATTCATATCTAGCTATCTAGAGAAGCACCATTTTCTATGACATGGTTAAACATAACAAACTATAAATCTAATTTTGTTTTGTCTTACCCCATTTATAACTATAAAAGAAACATGACTAGAAGACAAAAGGTTCTCATAATAGAGTTGGTGGAGAGGGAGAAAACATATCAATTCCTCTTGTCCATTTCATCCCCATAAGATGGAAGTAGTAACTTGTTGGAGTTCTTCAAAATCCATGAAAATATTGTCATACGTGTTCTCCTCCTCTTCAATATCGTTTTTGTTCTCCACGACAACATCAACCATTTCATTATTTCTCTTAA